GTTGCCTAGGCTGGAGTGCAGTGACATGATCTCAGCTCACTGCCACCTCCACCTCCTGGGTTCAAGCAATTCTCCTGCCTCAGCCTCCCAAGTAGCTGGGATTGCAGGCACCTGCCACCATGCCCAGCCGATTTTTATATTTTTAGTAGAGATGTGGTTTCACCATGTTGGCCAGGCTGGTCTCGAACTCCTTACCTCAAGTGATTCGCCTGCCTTGTCCTCCCAAAGTGCTGGGATTATAGGAATGAGCCATTGCACCCGGTCTGGTATTGTTATTTATCGAATTTTACATAATATCTATAACTGTGGTAGATGAAGATCTAGGTCCTAGCTGAAGATGAAGATCTAGATCCTAATTGTAATTCTGGGTATATGTTTTCTTCAGATTTGAAAACTTTGTTTTATTGCCTATGACATGATCAGTTATTTTCCTTTATCTCCCCTCCCATGGCTTTCAAAGTTTCAAGCCTACAGAAAAATTGTAAGAATGATACAGTGAAAACCCATGTATATTCTTTACCTAGATTTATCAATTGTGAATATTTTACAGCATTGCTTTGTCTTCATAGAGATAACAAACTTTTTTCTTTTGCTGAACTATATTTGAGAGTAAATTAGACACTATGATAATTTACCCTTAAATACTTCAACAGGTATCTCTGAAGAACAGAGACATTCTCCTGTGTAATCTCAACGTACTTTTCATCCTTGGGAAATTTAACATTGATATAGTACAATTTTACATTGATTTAATATGTAATATACATTCTGTCTACGTTCAAATGTTGCCAATTATCTGAATAATACCCTTTATAGATGTTTTGGTTTTTGCTTTTTAATTCAGAATCCAATCAAGTATCACACATTGCATTTATTATTTTTACTTTTTTGAGACAGGGTCTCACTCTGTCACCCAGGTGGAGTACAGTAGGCATATTCATAGCTCACTGCAGCCTCAACCTCCAGGGCTCATTATCCTCTTACCTCAGTCTCTTGGGTAGCTGGGACTACAGGCACTATAGGCATATGCTACCATGCCTGGCTAATTTTATTTTTTTTGTGGAGATGAGGTCTCACTATATTGCCCTTGCTGGTCTTCAACTCCTGAGCTCAAGTGATGCTCCCATACTGGCCTCCCAAAGTGCTGGGATTACAGGCATGAGCAAGAGTGCCTGGGCCACATTGCATTTAATAATCATGTTTCTCATTCCTTCAGAATGTGGTTATTTTTTCTTTCTGGAAGTTTTTTTTTTTTTTTTTTTTTTTT